TATTTTACTCAGGATAACATAATACAAAAGAGAGTTGGCTTTGAAAAAAATCTGTGTGTGAAAAGATGAGTTTGATTCTTTTGTAATTTAGGATAACATATCAAAATTGGAGTTTATAGTAATAGAAACTGTTGAACATATTTCAACAAAAGGAAAATCCATTGATCTTTGTAATTCTCTGAACTTTCTTGTCTGGATTCCACTCCCCCCATTTTTGTCTGAAAATTAATCATTCCTCCATTGTAGATCCATATTTGAAGCAAACCACAGGGGCTATAACTTTGCAAATATTCTTAAGAAAACAAGTGGCAAGTTTTCTAATGGAAGTCAGTCAAAACTTGTTTAGCTAAATTAAAAATCATAACATGTACACATGGATAAAAAGTAACCTTCCAACTACATGTAATTTGAATGATTCCCTTGGTAAATCAGTTAAATCTTTGTATCATAAGCAAAACCAGGTCAAAGCTGAGTAATGCTCAATAATTTGTCAAAAGATCTCCAATTAACCTTTTAGAGACCATCTGCTGTAAAGTCAAAATTGATTGCTTATATTTTAACATCCTTATGATTTAAAGAGAATATATTGGCTTCAATAAATGTGTATGACTTACATTGTTGGTTTATGTAGCACTAATAAAATAATAAAATATAAAATAATAATTAGATATTTTAAATTTAAGGATGTCATTGTACTATATAAAGATACAGATATAAATTATATACTTATATTGATATTGGTATATACAAAACAGTAAATGATTCACAACCAGCCTACATAGATAAGAAGCCCTGATTTGTACCCTTTGTCACTTTTCAAACTGTTAATACTCCCACCCTGGCTGCAAATATGAGGTCACTGAACGTGGAGTTGGGAAAACATATTCACAGCTGACCCTCAAGCATGTCTGAGCTGACTTTCCAGCTCCAACAACCCACTTTTAAAAGTAAATTATATATTTAAAATGTCTTAGAAATGGGCATCCTTCTCTATCATATGTGAGAATGCAATATGTTGTAAGAATCTAGAAACTAATATGGCGTTTCATACAAAGATTAATAGTATATGCATGTATACTCGATTTGTTGCCCGGGCTAGAGTGCTATGGCATCAGCCTAGCTCACAGCAACCTCAGACTCCTGGGCTCAAGAGATCCTCCTGTCTCAGCGTCCTGAGTAGTTGGGACTACAGTTGCACGCCACCACACCCAGCTAATTTTTCTACTTTTAGTAGAGATGGAGTCTTGCTCTTGCTCAGGCTGGTCTCAAACTCCTGAACTCAAGCAATCCTTCCACCTCTGCCTCCCAGAGTGCTAGGATTACAGGCATGAGTGAGCCACCATGCCCAGCTTATAACTAACTATTAATTTTTAAACAGTAACATACCAGTACTTAAGTGATTTATGTAATTATATCACAATCTATTCAAAATATTAGTCTAAGTATTTTTTTGCTTGTTAACTTACTAATCCTCACTAGAAAGCTATGTGGTATGTTTTATTAATGCCCCCATTTTACTGATTAGGAAATTAACATACAAATTATGCCCAAAATTATGCAGCTAGTAAATGGCAGACCTGGGATTTGAACTCAGTCAGTATGGTTCTAGAGTTCATGCTGTTACTATTATTATACTACACTCACTGCCCCTCATTAGAGTCATGGGGGTAGCTATCAATTTGATGCCAAAAACAAACAAGTAAACAAACAACAACAGAGTATAGTCAAATCAACTGCAATGTACCCTTATTTGGATATATTCTACAGCCATTAAAATTATACAATTCTAAAAACTTTTTGAAACACTGAAAATTTTATAATCTTCTGTATTTAACATTTTATATTTTGTACTATGTGATTTAAATGTATATCAAAAATTGTTATTACAGATAAATTTATAACTTTTTTAACTTCTCCTTCATCCCATTCCTTGCTTTTGATATATTCCTTCCTTCACTTATATTATTGCTTCATAATTTTATCTTTGAAATGCTAAAAACCCATCACTTTCTCAGTGATGAATAGTCTATCAGATTGAAAGTAAATTGTTTCAGATGTCTTTATAAATATTTTTAAACTAGACAACAATTCAGAATTCTTTAACCTACATTTCTTTAAAAAATTAGGTCATTTAAAATGGCACAATAAAAAAACTAGTTTACAAATACATTTCATAACAGTCTGACTTTTCTATAAATTGTAGTGGAGATTCTGAGTCAGACAAGAGAAATTGCACCTTTTCTCCACATCTTCACTTAAATAAAAAAGATTGTTTTTGGTGTTTTTATGAAGCTCTGAATGGCTAATAGATTTTATATTTTCCCTTATCCACAGTTTGTATTCTAGTCTTTATCACGTGACACTAAAAAAAGTTCACCAAATCAAAACAAAAACATTAAATTAAAAAAAAAAAACTTAAGAAATGTTAATGAAAGTGTATAAATTTGGCTTCAAAAATTAGATCTATATTATTTGTCTACATATCTCTATCTGAATATCTTCATCTACATATCTCTATGTCCATATCTACCTATCTATCAATACATATTCACACCCCCTTTCAGGTGAAATATCTCTAAGAAAGGCAGGAAAATGGCAATGCAGTGATACCGTTTTGCATGTTAACTTGTTCGGAACAGCTGATTGAGGACATGCTATCTTCTGTTCTGCTATATCAGTAAGATTACAATGCTTATGAGTTATTAAAGGCACAGGCTGGCTTCAGAGTCTTAACTGTCTTTTTTTTTTTTTTCCCCAATAAAGACTTCATTATTTTGGAGTAGTTTTAGGTTCACAGAAAAATTGCCTCCACAGATGCATAGCCTCCCCCATTATTAGTATCCCTCATCAGAATTGTACATTAGTTACAAGTGATGAGCCTACACTGACATGTCAAAATTCCCAAAGTTCATGGTTTACATTAGAGATCATTCTTGGTGCTATCCATTCTATGGGTTTGGACAAATATATAATGCCATATCCTTATTATATCATACAGACTATTTTCACTGCCCTAAAATTTCTCTGTGATCCTTCTACTTAGCCCTCTCTACCTGCCGCCATCACCAGCCCCTGGGCACCACTGATCTTTAGATTGTCTCCATAGTCTCATTTCTTAACTAATTTCTTAACTGCCATTTCAGAATCCACGTCTGTCACTTACTAAGGGACTTTTTCAATGTTAGTAGCTATCTATGGCTGGCCCAGTTAATTTCTTGCTCGTATTCTAGCCCCGTTCTTCTTCTTGCTAAAAAAAATATTTTTTTTCAGGGCATCAGTGCACCCAGTCCCAGGAATTAAAGCATAAATCGTGTAATCCAGAGATGACTCATTCTCCTTTGGCACAATGGCATCTTCATTCCTTCCTGCTATGCTGACTCATGTGATCCAGTTCTGTAAGGAGAAGCTGGGTGGGAGAGAACTCCAGATAGAGTATAGCCTCAAATAAAAGGAGTGAGAATCAACAAACTCAAAATAAATTTTATTTTTGCTAGCCTTTTCCACCTGCTTACACTCAGAATTGCAATGCAGTTGTAATGCTTATGGCTGTGATATTCAACTAGCTCCCAGCAGATAAGACATTGAAAAAATAGCCAAATATCAGGGAAGAGCAAAGAATAAGGATGGAAGGATCCTAAGTCCTTGGTGACTGCGGTCCCCAATCCCCAGGCTGTGGACCAGTACCAGTCCATGGCCTGTTAGGAACCAGGCCACACAGCAGGAGGTGAATGGCTGGCAAGCAAGTGAAGTTTCATCTGCGTTTACAGCTGCTCCCCATCACTTGCATCACCACCTGAGCTCTGCCTCCTGTCAGACCATTAGTGGCATTAGATTCTTATACAAGCCCGAACCCTACTGTAAAGTGCGCATGTGAGGCATCTAGGTTGTGCACTCATTATGAGACTCTAACCCCTGACTATCTGAGTTGGAGCTGAGGTGGTGATGCTAGGGCTGAGGAGTGGCTGCAAATATAGATTATCATTAGCACAGAGGTCTGACTGCACAAAGACCCTAATAAATCAATTGCTCGCAGACAATTACTGTATACTTTATTTCTATTATTATTACATTGTAATCGTTGTAATATATAATGAAATAATTATATTTTGCCTGTTTAAACATCACTCATATCTATGAGTACAGCTCTCAATTATATAATAATTATATATTACAATGTAATGATAATAGAAATAAAGTACACAATAAATGTAATGTGCTTGAATCATCCCCAAACCATTCCCCCACAACCAGTCCATGGAAAAGTTATCTTCCATGAAACTGATCCCTAGTGACAAAAAGGTTGGAGACCATTGCTTGGTGATATGTTTGAACTGTCAAGCCAACCCCTGAGCCACATAATTCCAGCATTTTTCTTAAACTAATAATAATAACAATAATAAATGTCCACATTGTATAAGTAACTGTCTTTCAAGTTTTCTATCATTGTTGTCTACATATATTACAGTAAACTTCTCTGATGGGCATAATAGCTGATAACTAGTAAATAACTACTCAATAAATGACAGCCATGAACAAAAATATTACCAATTAGGCAGTGGTTCTCAGATCTTTAGTGTACTTTAGAATCCTCTGACTAACTAACTGACAATACAGATATTACACTTCCATCCCCTGAGATTTTTATTAAGAACATCTGAGGTAGGGGTCAGAAATCTATATTTTTAATATGCTCCCAAGGTGATTTTGCTGCAGTTATTTGGTGGATCATATTTTGAGAAATACTTCAGTATGGGCTAAAAACAAATTATTGGAATGTGGGTAATACCTATGAGTGATTTAATGGTTGAAGAATACAGTGAATGGAAACAATACCAATCCATCCCATTCCCCATCTAGAAGAATATAAGTACCACTGAGGGCAGGGGTATCCTTTTAGGGACTGAATCACACTGAGCACTCTAAGAGCATTTAATACATTCTGGAATAGCTTTTTACTTCATAAGTTCACAGAAGAAATTTAAGAGAAATTGAATACTCACATTAGCTTGGATGATGACAAAGTAGCGAGTTTTATCTTCATAGTTGAGCCTCTTCCTTAACACTACATTTCCAGTCAACATTAGGGGTATTTCAAAGGTGTCATTGGATGTCTGCAAATATTAAAGATACAGGTTTCAGATCATTTGAATATAAAATGAATTAGATACCACGATACTGTAGTTTAATCTTGAAAGTTATAGATGGCATGCTTATCATCTATAAATAGAAGGAATATAAGCTTCATATTTAATATTCTTATCATTTCTCAAAATGTTTCATTTTGAACAATGCATTTTCCCTGAGTCCTTTGATAATGATAACCAGTAAACTTGTTTCTTGTCATAGTTTTTTATATATTATTAGGGTTATTCGTCAACAGCCTTGGAACAGTTCTAAATCAAAGTCTAGATATCTGAAAATCTTCCCTGTTACCATATTACCTTTTCACTATTTGTTTTAACACCAAGGAGTTAAATATTACAATTTGTGATTTCTACATAATATTACTTTCCAACATTGGTGCCCATTCTGTATTTCAATTATTTTCAGGCATTAAATACAAATACAGTCATGAGCCACTTAAGAACAGGGATCTACTAAGTGAGGTATCCCAAGAATGGAAAGACAAACACCACATGTACTCACCATCAAATTGGTATTAACTGATCAACACATAAATGCACATACAAGAATAACATCTATTGGATGTTGGGCAGGGGGAAGGGGGTAGGGGGGAGGAGGGAGGAGGGGATGGGTATTTGCATACACAAAGAGTGCAATGCGCACCACTCCAAGGATGGACATATTTGAAACTCGGACTTAGCGGGGGAGGGGGGGGCAAGGGCAACATATGTAACCTAAACATCTGTACCCCCATAATATGCTGAAATAAAAAAAAAGAACAGGGATATAATGTGAGAAATGTATTATTAGGCAATTTTATTTGTTGTGCAAACATCACAAAGTATACTTACACAAACCAAGATGGTATAGCCTAGTACACACCTAGGCTATATGGTATAGTCTATTGCTCATATGCTACACACTTGTACAGCACATTACCGTGCAACATACTGTAGGCAATTATAACACAATGGTAAGTATTTGTGTATCTAAACATAAAAAATAAACAGTAAACATATGGTATTATAATCTTGTGAGTCCACCACCATATTTACAGTCCATAGCTGACCGAAACATTATGTGGCACTTGACTATGAACTTGACACAGAGTGTTATCGTAAAAAAAAAAAGTATATATATATATATATATGTATGTATGTATGGGTTATAGGTTAATTTTTTTTCAGGCTCCATAACTGCATAACTGCTGTTCATTAGTTTAGATCCCTGCTCTGTCAAGAATGGAGTTTCTTCCTGGTAGCACTCATGTCGTAAGAGCAATCTCTAAAGTGCCTTCCAGCACTACTTGCTCTAATATAAGCAGCCCTCAGTATAAATGTATTCACATGTTAAGAGAGTATAATTATAAGATCAGTCTCTTATTCTTAACAAGAGCTTACATCACTCTTGTATTTTTAGTGCCATTTTAAAGACTGATAAAATAGTTTCTCAATGACTGCAACAAATCAGCTTTACTTCCAGCACTGAAATTGTTTTTAGTTTGTTTGCTTGTTTTGTGCTATTGTGCTTGTGCTTGCACCCATGCTGTGGACACTGGGAGAAAATACTTAGCTTGGATCTACATTAGATTGCTGAGAAAGGAGGAGGAGGAGAAGGAGGAGGAGGGGGAGGAGCAGGAGGAGGAAGAAGGGAGAAGGGGAAAGAAGATAAAAGAAGAGTGTGTGTTCACACTCTCAACTCAG